AGCATAGTTTCGTGTTTTCCAGCCTAGTCGGATACACATCTCCAGTCCTCTTCCCAATCATTACTCATTTATATGCGAAGTGCAACCTGGGAAACTGCCTGCTTTTCAAATAAATCTCGATTTATTTCCTCCCTTTTTTCTTATGTTAGCTTTTATATGCATTCTTTACACACTCTTCACACTCTGGGCATATGTAATTATGAATACTTCCTACATTCAAATCAAGCACTTATTATGGCCATCAATTTTGTCTTCACCTCAGCACTATTATCTTTCTATATTTGCATTTACTTACCCGATCACATCTCTCAGCTTGTACGAGATAGCCATGCTAAGCCGATTCCACCTCCATTGTTTTGTGTTTAGAAAAGGACTTTTGATTCTCCATCTGACGATTCCCTATGGATGCTGTCGCAAAAATGCGCATTCAAATTCACCATAGCCCCACGCACCGCCTATAACAGTGCAAACTACCAATCTGTGCTCACCCCACAGATTTTGACACACTAGGATCGGTTGTTATTAATGTTGTTTTATCGGCGCGGACAGACACTACCATCATCCTCGCTCTCCTTAATTCCGGTTAGTCATAATCTGTTACTAATTGCATGTCATATCCGAACCCCCCCCCCTAGATTTTGTCCTAATATCTATTGATGCCGGATCTTTCCGTATTTGCCAACTAATTAGATAGTTAATTATAATCTTTTTATGCATATTTTTTGCTTTTTATTATGGTATTAGGTGGGAAGCCATGCCAAATGAGTTATTGGGTCATAATTTTATAATCCTCCAGGACTACCTCCAAGATTCTATGTAATAAAGGTCGTTTAAGAGATAAAATGTTTCGCTCTTTCCAACCATGTCACTGACAATGGGTCGATGTATACGATCAGCTCACCTTCACAATCGTTTGCCAGAGACACAATCAATATGAAGAGCTGAGTCGACTACAATTAGGCATTCTCTCTTGGCCAGCCAGACTCAACATAACCCTGTGAAGCATCCGAGGCGATTTTTGTCGAAGGATCCTAAATTTTACTAACTTGATACTATTTCTGGCGGATTCATACGTACGTGCGTTTACGTGCACGAAAATCGAATTTAAAGGACATTTTATCCTTGAAACACATCGAGTAGGTTTCTCAGTTTTATTTGGCCCTGGAGGATACGACGTAGCTACAGGTTAAATTTCAGGAATGTAGCACGTCCACGGTCCGACTTTGGAAATTTGAATGCATACAATGGACTCCGGGCTAGGTGCGTTCCTCTAAGTCTTCCTACTAATATGACCAAGTTGCGAGAACAAGGTCAAACAACCTCTAAATTTCACAATTTAAGAACACTGCGGATGCGGATTGTCACACTCAAGTCTGAAACCCTCTGCAACCTGGGTATTTTCAGGCGTTTGCATCCTCATGTAGGATACTTCTTCCCCTGCGTTGCCAGATTAAGGCCTTTCTTAATTACCGTTCAGCGGATTAAGTCTTGTGAACCACTTGGTTGTAAGTTGGCCGCAATCTCAAAGGAAGCTCTCAGTAATTCATTTTTGAATAAGAATCGACTTTACATATACCTAAGGACAGCACAGACCAGTTACCTACAAAGTATGCGCCATATGCTTTAGCCCAATTTTATTTCGTCACGCCAAATAGCGGCCACAGGTTGCATCTTTGTAGGCTAAGGCCCAAGGTTCCAGTGGGACGATCCAAGTAACCGAAAGCGCCATCGCCCAGAATAACCAAGGTAGAAAGGCCCCACATGCCCACATCGTAATGGCTGCTACTGTTGAGAATCGCTAACCACTGGTCGAATTCCGACAAGCATTGGTTGTGCATTGAAGAAAGATCTTGTCTTGACTTGCCTTAAATTCGTGGGAAATTGAAGGGTCGGAGACTGTAGTTCTTTCAAGCCAGTCCTAGGATTTCCAACTGAGCTATTTGGGGGGGTTCTTGATAATAAGCGAAATAACTGGGCAGCCATAAATAACCACAGTTGCCTCACATCTGACGTGTTCATCGCTGACCTCAGAAACTTATTAAATTCCCTTGCCCGTCTTCTGGATCTAACTCAGTATTTAACGCCTAATAGATTTTTGTTTATGGTTTGCTTCACACAATCTCATATTATCTCGTGCAAAGTACATATATACTCCGAACAATATGGATCTAATGAATTCGCGATTAGCCATATCCGCAACCCTATACAAGAGCGACAAAAGTATTATGATCTGTCAACAGAATAAAGCTTTAATCGGCGATGCAAGAACCAATTCAAGGTGAGACCTTAAAACAAAATCCGAGAAAACCGTTGGCCACTAATGGGGTAAAATGAGCGAGTAGGCATCGATAATTAAAAAATATATTCTTTTATATACAACAGCAAACAGTGGATGCGAGGCATCCAGTCTAGGAGTTGAAGCACAATTCTGGAGCGACCACAGAAGGCGCGGACGATCTAGTGGCGCAAGTGGATATTTCGCTTGTCATTATGATATCGACATTGAGAATATGCAACATGTGGCATTTAGGTGATGAGATGGGGAATATGTACACAGCAAACAGAGTGACTCCATCCAAAAGTGATCGTACCCGACTTAGCCTTTGGAAGAAGTTGATGCTGCCATCGCGCCCCTGGACAAGACAGCTTTCAATGCTGCTAGTGGGTCAGCCTTAATAGTCTCATATGATATAGTAGCGAGGTCTGGCTGAATGACCAAGGGCTCCAAAATACCGGTTGTGGAAGACAAAGTCTGCTCTGGAGATTCCGGGTGAGGAGGAATGGGGTCGATCGCATTACAGTCAGAATGGTTAAGGCAAGATGAATCTAAAGCTGCTTTCTCAATGGGTTCAGATTTGACCTTCCAATGCGTGGATTCGACATCAGTATCGGATGAAGTGTGTACAGTAGAAATGACATCTTCCAATTTAAGAGTAACAACACGAGTTGGCGTGCAAATTCGTTTTGGATCCAAAACTTCTTCTGTCGCAGGCTCCAGTGGTCGTTTTTGAGCAGAATCCTTATTGGATGAGGAAGAAGTTTGTTCAGCGGGCGGCGATAGAACAGCATTGCTACTTTCATCTTCGTTTGAATGAGATTCAAGACTCGTTGCTTGCACAGTAGCCTGATCTTCGGTACGAGCTTGTTCTTGGTTCTGCAAAGCAATAGGTAGCATTTCGATGAACATTCGAAATAACAATAATAAAAGGAAAGTCCCAGGGATTTTCATGTCTTTATTTTTAACCAGAGATAGATGAAAGATGGTTTCTAGATAGTTACGAAATCTCGATATTAAGTGCTGATTTTTCATGATTTACTTCTTTAAGGTTGATTTAGATACATTCCTTATATGAGCGATAACAATATGATTAAAAGGCGGATTCCTTTTATTGAAATGCAATTTCAATATCCCAGCAACTTAAAAAGAGAATTAATATTCTTTAATGTTATCTATAATTCCTTTGTGGAAACAAAAATTATCTTATTAATGAGATCTTCAGTCACCCTTTCCTGCATAAGGTGATGAAGAATTGACAATGAATTTTCCCACAATGAAATGAGTTGGCTTCGCGATGCAATCTAATTTCATTTAGTCTTGCTTCCTAAATGTATTCTTCTCTAGGCTAGACTACAGTCTCAACCCAACCGAGGTATCATCAGCACCTATGTTGGTTGGACCTTCATGGAAAGGAGAAATTTTGTTTATTCAAAGGAATGTTCAACAGCCAACATCTCCACGAACATTGAGTTATATCAAAACTCACTGATCGGATCGACGTCACATCAACGCGGAGTCGCGTCTCCAAGAAACATTTATGCACACAAATTAACTAACGTGTGATACTGTAATCCTGGGGTTTGTTTTAGTTTCGTGACTGCCCGTTCATATCTCTATGCAACATTCACGAGTTTGTTGACAATTTTAGGTCCGAAACCAGGCTCCAGCTTAGTCAGGTCTTATCTTATTCATTGGCTCTTCCTATTCCTTACCTTCTACCCCTCTATCTCCCTAAATATATTCGAGGGAGAATGCATATATTCATGCATCAAGCCTTTTTCTCATACTCTATCTCACGAGTATCCCAGCAGCTATAATTTCAACCTTCACTCACAGGCTTGATGTATATATTAGATTATCTCGTCGTAGATTGGGATTGTATCTCATCGGACAGCTTTTGCCCAGCTTCCGGCCCCAAACAGCCTAGGAGTCTTGATCTCAGGAGTCAGCTCCCCTCTTGTCGCCCGTCCCATTGATTACAAGACAATGACTTAGCAACATCAAAGCCCGATAACTGCTACTCAGACATCAGGTATCCTGGTGGCCACCAATCGAATATAAACAGATTCCAGATATTTCAATCAAGGAAGCCCCGCTTCAGCACAATTGCCTATCAGGCGTAGCAACCCGCTTGTTCTGCCAGGGGAATACCTGTAGTAACAGCCGTGTCCCCAACATTTCGCTCGTTGTAGCGTCGATGTGAAAAACTTTTCGACAAATACATAAGAGGTTATCAGAGCACAGAACCAGCCAAGGCTTACGGATTCACAAATCGGAGGTGGCTGAACATGTGGTCACTACGGGAAACCAGATAAGAGTAGTCTAAATCCCAACGTCTAGTCGGATATGAGGACTTCATGGCTAGGCGGAAGATGAGGGAGTCAATTGACATTAATGAAACAAATAAACTCCTTAATAAGAGAACAAATGTAGAAAACTAAGAACTATCTTTGGCTGCTGAACACTGAGTAAGAGAAGAATAAGCAAAACTGGAGTCTGGTTTTGAACCTTAAATTTCCAATCAACTCGTGAGCATGGCATACACACACGAATAGGCATTCATGAAGCTATAAGAAGCCCCAGGATTACATGATCATACAAGAGGTTAATTGAAGGTATAAATACCAGGATGATGTGGCATTGTGTATGGTCGCGGTCTCCTTTCGTTTTATATAAGTTGTTTGACCTTGGTTTCACAACTTCGTCATATTAGCTGGAAGACCTAGAGGAACGCACCTTGTCCGAAGTCCATAGTATGCAATTCCAGAGTCGGACCGTGGACTTGGTGCATTCCCAGACGTTTCGCCGGCATCATCAGTGAGTCTTGCCATTCTCAGCAAACCAAGCTACAACTCGTCAAAGAGACAAGTGAAATCAATCCCTTGACCAACTTTCTGTCGAAATCGTTATGCTTTCCTCTAGATCTTCCTGTTAATATGACCAAGTTGCGAAACCAAGATCAAACAACTGTTATAAACCGAAAGGACACTGCGACCATACAAAAGGCCACATCATCCTCGTATTCATACCTTCGATTAAA